CCTCTGTTTACATGCTCAGCTGCTAACCAAAAAGATTGGAGATTTGAGTCCCCTCAGAGGTGCCTTGGAAGAAAGACTTGGAGATCTCCCAAAAAATCAGCTACAGAAAACCCATAGTGTTCCATAAAACCCACAGTTCTACTCTGACACACAAGGGAGCACCACCAGCTGGAACAGATTCAACAGCAATTGGTTTCCATGGCTCCCACCTTAGACTTCAGCACCATTCTTTGTGGTATCTTCACCTAGCTGTCCTCCTACAGTCTTCTATAACCAGGGGCTAGTGTGATCATTTAAAAATGTTTAGATAGTCTTTCATCCGTGTTCATAACCCTTTAATGGCTTCTAGAGCATAATTAGAATAAGATCGAATTCTGTAAGGAAAATTCTACAAGATACACCCACCCAACTCTCACCAACATTCCCATTCCTACAACATCCAGCTCAAGTCCTCTTCTGACTTTTGGTACTAGCTGTTCCTGTCCTCAATCTCTTTCTCCAGGTCCTCATGTAGCTGGCTCTTTACCAATATGCAGGGATCACTTAAAATTCACCTCTTCAAAGGTCTGACCCCCTACTCTCACCAATCACTGTCATTTGGTGTTTTATTTTCACATTTGTAGGCCTCTCACCCTCTATAAGAATATAAACTTGAAGAAAACAGAGACCTTGTCTTAAAGATATATCCCTAATGTCTGGCAAGTATTCCATAAATATTTTGGAATAAATAAGATTTGGCTAATAGACAGCTAGATTTGAACAATAAACTAAACATTATACTGTCAAAACTGATGGTATTTTCCATCTGAGTGAGCTCACTGTATCCTCCAAAGTAGGGAGAATGAGTTTTAGTTGGAATTCCTGGTGATAACTATATTATAAAAAGGGAGGTATATGAGGCTAACATTAGCAAAATGCCTAGAACTGGGCTGGGAAACTTCCATGTTACTACATTTAAATGTGCAACCTTCTGAGTAGGTGTTACTACGCAACCAGCCAGCACTGGGGCTGTGGTATGAGGCTCCACAGCTGCCTCCTCCCCTCCCCTTGCACCTCCAACTGAACTGCTGTTTTGCAGATGATCAGATGAAATGGTGGTAGTGGATCTGGCCACTTATGCCATCTGCCAGTGAAGTAATCGTGGGCTCAGATACACTAATGTATTTCCCATATCCACAACGGGAAGGAGAATGCCCAGAGGGCACAGGCTGGAGAGCCACTTATGGGTGCCAACCCCCCTTCCTTAAGATTCCTTATAGATGACTTTTTTGGTTTACTCTTTTTTTCCTTCAAATACATAAACCAGGTAATATATATATATATATATATATATATTTGCCATTTCAACCATTTTTACCTGTACAATTCAGTGACATTAACTATGTTCACTATGTTGAACAACCATCACCACTATCTGCTTCCAAATTTTTTTACCTCCTTAACAGCAACTCAGTACCCCTTAAAGCAGTAACTCCACGTCCCTCTCATCTGCCCCAGGTAACCACCAATAAAGTTTGTTACTGCTAGGTGCTGTAGAGTCAGTTCTAACTTGCAGCAACCCAGAACGAAATGCTGCCTGGTCCTGCACCGTCCTATAACCGTTGCTAAGTTTGAGCCCATTGTGGCAGCCACTGTGTAAACCCATCTCTTTGAGGGTCTTCCTCTTTTTGCTGATCCTCTACCAAGCATGATATCCTTCTGTAGGGATTATCCCTCCTGATGATGTATCCAAAGTAAGCAAGAAAAAGTCTCAGCATCCTCACTTCTAAGGAGCATTCTGGCTGAGTTTCCTCTAAGACAGATTTGTCCATTCTTCTGGCAGTACATGGGATACTTAATATTTTTTGGCAACAACATAATTCAAAGGCATCAATTCTTCTTTGGTCTTATTCATTGTTCAGCTTTTACATGTATATGAGGCTACTGAAGACACCATGGATTGGGTCAGGGCACACCCTAAACAAAGTGACATCTTTGCTTTTGAACACTTTAAGGAAATCTTTTGCAGCAGATTTGCCCAATGCTATATGTCACTTGATTTCCTGTCTGCTGCATCTCTGTGCATTGATTGTAGATTCAAGCAAAATGAAGTCCTTGACAACTTCAACATGTGGTCTCTATGTATTTACCTACTCAAGCTATTTCAAAGAAGTGGAACGATCATACGATATCTGTCCTTTAGTTTCTGACCTCTTTCACACAGCACATTTTCAAGCTTCATCCATGTCATGGTATGTATCACGACTTCATTTCTCTTTATAGCTGAGTAACCTTCCACTGCATGGATATACCACATTTTGCTCATCCATTCATCTGTTGATGGACATTTGGGTTGTTTCCACCTTTTGGCAATTGTGATGAGTGATGCAATGAACAATGGTGTACCAGTATGTTTGTATCCCTGCTTTTGAGCCTTCTGGGTATATATGTGCGAGTGGAATTGCTGGGTTCGGTTTACTGTTACTCACAGAATAAAACAGAAAACATAAAGCAACCACATGCCAGAATTCAGAAATGTCTCACCACATCTAACAGGTGGAATGTCGAGCTCTAGACCCACTTTTATCACTAACCATGGCAGTTGGCCTTTCAGGGCCTCAGCCTCATGACTGAATAAAGGGGGGTGGGTGGCTATGTGGTCCTGATGGGACATTCCAGCCCTACTATTCTGTAATTTAGGGATACAACATGGCTTTTATTAGTCTTCTTTTGCCCTGGGCACTGGTGCCTCATGTTATCTGTATAGAATGTTGCCTCTACGGTCTGAGAGTTATGGTGGTGGCGTCATGGCTTCTCAACAGCAAAGGTGTCGCCCTTTCCAATCTCAGAGCCAAATCAGCAGGCAGGCCTAGCACTATTTGTACCTCTTAATTTTTATACTCAGCAGCTCGCCAGGATCAAAAACACCCACCATGCAATATTTTCATTGTGCTGCAAACACAGTGCCCATTCTATACTTAAATGTACTGCATTAATTTTTCAGGGAAGCTGTGTGGCAGGGAGAACTCTGAACCAGAGTAAAGTGAGACTAATTTAAATAGCATTTCTCTGTATTTATGGTACTTTAAGTGTAATTTTGTAAGGAAAAGGTGACACTTTCCTGCATGTCCAATGACAGCTATTGTAATTTAACTGTTTGAGACAAGATATTCAATATTAATCCATTTCCCCTAATAACGCTACGTGTGCAGTCACATCAATTCTGCCTCACAGCAACCCTGTATGACAGCACAGGACAGGCCCGTAGATTCTTCTAGGCTGAAATCTTTATAGAAGTAGATTGCCAGGTCTTTCCTCCTGTGGAACATCTGGCGGGTTTAACAGCCAACCTTTCGATTAGCCGTCAAGCACATAACCATCGCAACCAGGGCTCCTTCCCCAATAATGTAATAATGTTGTTTTGTCGTCGAGTTGAACTCGACTCATAGCGACCCCTCCTTGGGTTTCCAAGGCAGTATCACTATGGAAGTAGATTGCCCAACCTTCCTTCTGAGAAGTGGCTGGTGGGTTTGAACCGCCAGCCTTCTGGTTAGCAGTCAAGTGCCTGAGGCACTATGCTACCAGAGCTCCCCCCCCCAATAATAAGCACTACCACTGAAAAAGCTTCAGCAGTGTGTTAGACACACCCACCAGCTGTCAAGTGGCTTCCCACTCACCGGGACCCCATGTGTGTCAGAGCAGAACTGTGCTCCTTAGGGTTTTCAATGGCTGATTTTTCAAAGTAGATCTCCAGGCACCTATGGGTGGACTCAACTGCCAACCTTTCCATCAGCAGAAGAGCACTTAACCATTTGTGCCAGCAGGGATTCTGCATTCAATGCTAAACTTCCCAACAAACCCTGCAGTACTATACTGACTTTAGAATGAGCGCTTAAAGAACTCACAGACTTTGCCCAGAGCTTCATGAAAACCCTTTCTGCCTTGCTCTCTAACCCTGGCACAGGTGGGGAAGTTCTATAAATATCTGTTGAACGAAGAAGTCTTTTCAAAATGGCAGAAAGTTTCACAGCTAAGTCTGACTGTTACACCCCCAGACCCATTTCATTCAAGGTGTTCTCATCAAGATCTGCAAAGGGCTAATACGCTAACCACTCTGACAGCACATGGACCGCCTTCTCTCCGGAGAACTTTAGAGTGTGGGAAACCAAGAGATGATTGGAGAAGGCCACGGACCTTCCAATCCCAGCCGCCAAGAATCTTTAAAAGCCAAACAAGTTAACTATATATTCTTAATAATAAGCAACCTACAAGAGGTCTTAAAAGTTTTATCACCAACTTTCCCTTGTGCACTGTAATTCCACACTCTTTCTCAGACACCAACTAGGAAGTATTTAAAGCCCTCACTCCTCAGGCCAAAGCTCCCAATGCACAATGATCCCTTGTGCCGGAACCCCTGAGGGCTGAAGCCATGAGGAAACCGAGCCCGAACTTCCAGGGTTGCAAACAAAGCAGTTTAAAGCCAGAGTGGGAAAGCCAGTACTACCTGAAGGTATTAAAAAAAAAAAAAAAAAATCAGAAGCCTCACAGCATTTACGCAGCTGGGGAAAACTTCAGCAGATAAGGCCCAAATTTGGAAGAGAAATAAGCCGGAAACTTGCCGAAGAACATGTACGCAGTTGGCACACGTGGGCCGCAGCCAGAGAGGGAGCGAGGGAGCGGAAGCATGAGCTGGACAAGGCAAGAGGAGACGGTCTCCACGGGGCAGGCACGTAGTCACCTCAGTCACCCGCTATTTGCAGCCAGGCACATCCCCCGGGAGAGCAAAGGACTTGCCTACGCTATGCAGACGCGAGTGCACAGAAGATCAAAGTTGGGGCGAGTTGGCAAACATATCCCTTCTTTCCCCCAGGCGAATGGGACCCGGGTGCCGCTCCCCAGACCATCCAAGCCGCAGCTGGGGCGCACGCGCAAGGCAATTGGCCAGAGGCGCGGTTCCCAGTAATCCGGGTTAGTGGACTACCTGCAGAGCTGACTGCAGCCGCAGGGACGGCTAATCTCACCTTCACGGCCGTGGTGGCGGCCCCCGACGCCATGTCTGTAGAATGCAAGGCACCCCTCTGTACCGCGCTGGAGAGAAGGCTGCAATCTTGCACCTAGACAAGAGCACCAACAAGCGGGAACAGGTTCAAACGCCGGCGCTGGAGCGAGCAGTGCAGATTCAGGAGGGCGGCCCTGACTCCACCTCTTCCTCCCCAGGAGGGGGCTGGATTGGCTGATGTGCGAGACCGCCTGCCAACCCCCTCCTCAAAGAGCGGTTCCGCGGTCCGCCCCTTTGTGGAGACCTTTCCGGTTTTCGATTTTTTGTTGTTTTCTACCCCGTGTTCTAACTAGCGGGTTCACTATAATGACGATAGAAACCATTTATGGAACGCTTGCATAGTGCCAGACTTTGTGTCATGTCTTTTAATGAGCTCAGCTCTCTTTCACAAAAACCCTATAAGGAAACCAGCACTGCCTGCTCTGCCCAGTACTAGTTGTAAAGAAAGGCCTGCCTACATTCCTGAAGTTCTCGCGGGAGGGCGAATCATCTTCATAAACTGAGAGTTACTCCAGCTGCTGCCTCTGGGCGGAGGCAGAGGACCAGTGTTCTCCACCGTTATGCAGGCAGAAGAAATTGGCTCATTTCACATAATTTCTAGGCTCCAGAACAGAGATGGGATTAACTGCCTTAATTCAGGTATCAGGATAACACGAGGGAAATAGACAAAGAGTAACTGAGGTACTGGTTAACCTTTCCGATTTACAAAGTATAGTTTACTCATAGGAACTCTGGTGGCGTAGTGCTTATAAGGCATTTGATTGCTAACCGGAAGGCTGGCGGTTCAAACCCACCAGCCACTCCTGGAAAGGAAGGTTGGGCAATCTACTTCCGTAGTGATACCGCTTCGGAAACCCAAGGAGGGGTCACTATGAGTCGGATCTGACTACACGGCAGTGAGTTTTTTTTTTTGTTTGTTTTTTTGGTTAGTTTATTCATGTTCAATGCACGCGTCTCTGTGTGTGTGTGTGTGTGTGTGTGTGTGTGTGCTTTTAAAGGGATGAGGTATCTTTAACCTCTTGTACCCCGAGGAGCATCCGATACACCTAGATTCAGAATCCAGGCTCATGTCTCCATCATTCAAGACTGGTAGAAAACGCCTTCCTCTCCCAGCTCTCCACTGGGGTAATCCCTTACTCTCAAAACCCCTACTCTTTCCTGCTGGCAGAACAACTCCATTTAACCTCTTGATGAATTGAGCCCTCCCCAAAATCACTGGGTGGCAATGATCTTAAGGATGCCTCTGAGGCACAGAAATGCTACTAAGCACTTACGCGGTGAGAAAGAAGGGCTGTGAAAAGACACTCTCCTTTTTCCCTACAGCAGCAAAACACTGAAATGTCAGTACAATTTTTTTTCAATATATCACTGTCTTATATTGGCCTGGATACTACCCAGATAGCCTATTTACTTAAATGGTAAAAGTCTTTAATTTTCTCATTATTTTTGCTTTAGGTCTAAGTTGCACTATTGGGGACCAGGAAGCCCACCACTTAGAAGGGGACATTGCAGGGGCATAGAAGCCCAAAGTCTTATGGCTGCTACTTCAGTAGGAGACAGTGACCAGCTTATGTGCTTTGAGTGATCAGCATTGCCTTTCTGCCACAAGTTAGAAGAGAGTTGCATTAGACCCTCATAAGCACTAGACCCCTGGGCAGCGAGGGATCTGGAAACTTGGAGGGAAATAGACTGGACTTACGGACTCCCCTGCTTTTACATGTGAAGGCTCAAACATTTGCTCTTGGACATGTGATGTCTGTGAAGAGGAAATTGTGCCAGGCCTGGCCTAGTTTTTGAGTGATGTAGTTCACAAGCAGTTTCTGGAGAGAAAATAACATCTCCAAACAAAATTTAAGAAACTCTCTGACTTCTGAGAAGCCAGGCATCTACTCACCAGCTGATTGTCAGGTAATAGTTTGTTATTTGTGTATGATGACATGTAGCTCAAGAGAAATTGTTCCACCTCTCAAGGGAACTAGCAGTTTTCCTCATAAGACATTATGAGTAATACACACCCACAACACACATGCTTAGAAGCAAATACAGACACACACATACTTAGAAGTAGTCAACTTAATAGCTACAACAGGATTTTTTAGTAAACAAACTAAACCCAACCATTTTAGAAGGGTATTTCAAAATAAATTTCCAGAAATTTTAAATATGTATAGTCACCTTAAATATATAGTCAGCCTGTGTCAGAGATGTATTTAACTCATTGATGAAGGAACTAGCAGGATGACAAAGCTGATTCAAAGGAGGATAAAATAAGCTGAAACAATAAGAAAAAAAGAATGTGAGAATAAAATTGAAAAATTAGTTACAAAACTGGATTTTGTTTTATAGGGCAATAAAACTGTAGCCTTTGAAGTTATCTTGTCTATGAATAGGTACCTTTTGCATCTCTGAAAGGAAAAAAAATTTTTTAGCTTATCAGTGTTCTGTAAGATAGCATCTAACATCACAGAGTCTGAACCCTTATCACTAAGGAACAACAACAAAACAGTTTACCCTCTTCACTTTAAGTCAGGGGTGAGTAACCCTCATGTGCCAAGAGGCAAAATCAAGGAAAATTCTACTCTTGAAGCATGAAAGCATACCAACCCACTGCCATTGAGTCGATTCTGACTCATAGTGATCCTGTAGGACAGAGAAGAACTTCTCCACAGGGTTCCAAGGCTGGAAATCTTTATAGGGAGCTCTGGTAGTGTAGTGCTTAACTACTAACCAGAAGTTTGACTGCTAACCAAAAGGCTGGTGGTTCAAACCCATGAGCCACTCCTTTGATAGAAGATTGGGCAATCTACTTCCATAGTGATACCATCTTGGAAGCTCAAGGAAGGGTCGCTAGGAGTCGGATCCGACTCGATGGTAATGAGTGAAAATCTTTATAGAAGCAGACTCCTGCATCTTTCTCCCATGGAGTGTCTGGTGAGTTCAAACCACCAACCTTTTGTTTATCAGCCGAGCACTTAACCACTCTACCACCAGAGCTCCTTTCATTTAATACCTAATTGAATGAACAAGGCTATATTTCAGGACAAGTTTTTAACCAACCACCCAGTTGTTGTCATGTTAACACTGACTCATGGTGACCTCATGTGTGTCTGAGTAGAACTGTAGTCTGTAGGGTTTTTTCATGGCTGATTTTCCAGAAATAGATTGCCAGGCTTTTCTTCTGGGTGGACTGGAACCTGCAAACTTTCTGTTAGCAGCCAAGAGCAGTAACTATTTGCATCGCCAAGGATTGTACAGCTTTATATATGGACACTAAAATTTGAATTGCATATTTTCATGTGTGACAAAATATTCTTCTTCTTTTGATTTTTTCCCCAATTATTTGAGAATGTATAACTATTTGTTAACCAGAAGGCTGGTGGTTCAAACCCACCAGCCACTCCTCGGAAGGAAGATGGGGCAATCTATTTCTGTAGTGATACTGCCCCGGAAACCCAAGGAGGGGTCACTATGAGTCGGGTCCAATTCAGTGGTACATAACAACAACAACAACATAACTATTTGTAGCTTGTAGTTGTACAGAAACAGGTGGAGAGCTAGATTAGGCCAATGGGGCTGAACATAGTTTACCCTTTCCCTCCTTGAGTTTCACGTTCCTTGGACAGGTGTATTAGTCATTGTTTTAGTGTATCTTTGAAAACCAAAAACCCAAGCTCACTGCCATCAAGTCGGATTTGACTCATAGCGACCCCTCCTTGGGTTTCCAAAATATTATCTCTATGCCCAATCTTCCCTCTGAGAAGTGGCTGGTGGGTTTGAACCTCCCACCTTCTGGTTAGCAGTTGAAAGCCTTAGGCACTACACTATCAAAGTTCCTATCTTTGAAAAGGCAAGCAGTAATTTTTTTTTTTGCCTCATTTCCATGTTTTGGATAATCTTTTTTTTGTGTGTGTGATTTGGGTCAAGATTTATAGAGCAAATTCACTTTCCGTACAGCAGTTCACATATACTTTGTCTCATGACATTGACCACAGTTTTCCACAATGCAACAGCTCCCCTCCCACTTCCTCCCCATAGTTATCTCTTCCCAGTGTCCATCCTCCATGCACTCCTGCCCCTTGAGCTGTCTCCCTGTGCATAAGCAGCCCTTCTTTCTCCAATGATTGTTCTCTCTAAGGAGCGTATCTACCTGAGATAAATGTTCAACTCATATGCCTATCTTTTGTTTGGCTGGCACCATGGGTATGGGTTCAATTCCAGACCTGAAGGGCAGCTAGGGGCCATAGTCTATGTGGTTCCACCAGGCTCTGTCGGACCAGCAAACCTGGCCCCCCTCTTTTATTTCTCCAAATGATTTTGAGTTTTGTTCCACATTGTTCTCCCTCTCTATCAAGGATCTCCTACATAGATCCCCTTCCAAGTGGATAACAGTGGTAGCTGGGCACCATCTAGTTCTTCTGGTCGCATAGTCGTATAGGCTGCAGATCAGATGCTGTACCAGTCCCTAGGACTAATTGTTTCCATGAATTTTGTTTTTCTTCATTCTTCTTTGCTCTGAACGAAGAGAGACCCATCATTGCATCTAGATGGCAGCTTGCTAGCTTTTAAGATCCCAGACGCTACTCGCCAAAGTAGGAGGTGAAACAATGTTTTGTATAGTATATTATGCCAATTGAGCTTGACGTCCCCTGCGACTATGGTCCCAAGCCCACAGGTTCAACTATTTGGTCCCTCTGGGTAGCTGGCTGTGACCAAGCAGTGACCACAACCTTGCCCCTTGTCAGCTCTACTATACACCTGGGAATTCTGATCATTCACATAAACTTATAGGAAGATTGTCTGCCAACCCTATACATGTTCTTGGATACAGTCCCTATTTCATAGACATGCCTAATAGTTCAGCCTGTCCACCCATCTATCCACCCATATACCTGTGTTTGCCTTCACTGACAATGCAGAACCGTATGTGCAAAAGGGTTTATCTTTGTTGTCTGTACCTTCCATGTACCTCTCTATGTCTTTCTCATCCTCAATTCC